TATATATATGTATATATACATATATGACTGTAGGAAACTTCAAGGATAACATTATCTGCAGAGAGACAACATGAACCCAGGGGGACTACTTCCTGGGGTCGTTCATCCATCTTTGAGACAGTCCAACTGTCCTCAAACTGTTCAGTAGCAGTAGTTTCATCTTCCCACCTACATACGTATATACACATATATCCTCTCCAATGAAGCACACTCACTCTACTGACCACAAGTGTCATCTGTGAACATCAGTGTCCACAGAACTTCCTGTCTAACCTCATCTGTCAACCTGTCTTTTGTCACAGACGAGGGATTTCGACCTTAATCTCCAATGTGATCCTGCCAGCACCCTGACCCAAAAGCCACTCAGATTAACTTTAAACTTTTTTTTATTTTGCTACACTTGTATGAGTGAAATACAAAATATTCAAAGATGACATGTCGTAATTATGATTCCCAATAAAGCACAACTTCAAACTTGGTTTACATTTATAAACAATCAAGGTTTGGCTGTTTTGCTAAGCCATGCTAACTGCAACATTTGGATATTTAGAAAGTACCAGATTACAATCTAACCAAGGCTGTGTCATTGGTCATTGTCTTTGACATCTCTCTACCTTTTCATAACCACACTGACAGAATAAATGTCCCAGCCAATAGAATACACTCAACAAATTACAAGAATTACTTCTTCTACAACCCTATTTTTTTATTTTATTTTTCATCTTCTTTTAGCAGGAAGACAATAGCTGAAATATTTGGCATAAAAGAGCATGTTTTGTTAGGAATAGGGGTGATTTGAAATATGTGACCTTGTTATCCACCACAGCCAAACTGTATTTACTGAACAACTGTCTGGGCAGAGTGCACTGTGGCTCTCTTTGCCAGATGGAGGTAAATGCACAGAAATCTGCTCAGAACTGGGCTGCTTAAGGAATTCAGCTGCAATCAATTCTTTGACTTTAAAAATGAAGCTCCAGGCCAATGTAACGGTCGAAGCCAAAACATTTAGACAGGCTGTTCAAACTTCAAGAGGGAGGCTGAAGTTGTGTTTTTGAGGGACCTAAGCAATTCTGAGGGACCACGAAGTCCCAACTACTCAAAATGACCTTCACTTTCCAGTCCTTAGGAAGTCAGTGACACCAAGGCCACCGCAAATGCCACAAAAAAGGACAGAATGATGGGACATAGGCACTGCTTCGTTGCTCTCCAAAGTCTAAATCTCTTAAATGAATGTCTGGGACTAGCAAGATAAAGTGTCGAGCAAGAAACAGCCAATCTAAAGAACTGTTTCGAGTGTTTTCATGAGGCTTGGGGGGGAAACCGTAGGAATATACAAAAGCAGCAAAAGTCCACACAATGACACCATTATATTAACCGCTGGCCGATATAACAGAGACGCTGGTGGGCGGAATTATTTGCCCCGTTTTCAGGTATAACATAATTATATTGAAAGTTCACTTCAACTGCGCAACAGCTTGAAAAAAAGCCCTGTTAAAGTCTAAATGAAAGATGTCTGTGTAGCAGTGAACGGGTGTTAACTCGCACAACATGCAAGCGCGCGCGCGCGCACACGTAGGCAGATACACACAAAGATATGCATATACACACAGAAAGGTGCTCATAGAAAAAATGTTGCGATTTTCAGTTAAACGACGACAGAAGCAGTTCGGGTTTACCACACTGAAGGCCCCTTTATCCACAACCCGCGGTGTTACTCACCTAGCCTGGTGTGCAACCCTCCGAGAAGGCGACCATCCAAAAGCGTTTTCCACTTGGTTGCAAGACCAGCAAACAAGTTTGCGCTGGTTTTATTTAGCGCCAACCATTTTTGTCCCTGGCTCGTGCGTCCGTGTGCCGGGACAAATGCTCCAAGGAGATGGGAATTATTCCTCGAGGTTACACAGATTCCACTGTCGTCCAGTCTAAACTTGCAGATTTCCCTTAGGGAATCAAACTTTAATCACTCTGCCCAAGTGAAGCTCTGAAAATAAAAATAATAAAACTGCATGATCGTTTAATGTAATACAACAAGTAAAGTTTTGATCCTGTTTGTTAGTCAAGAGAAATCTCGCCCACATGTAACGAAGGGGCAGCGGTGGTGTTGGCTTTACCGCTGCGCTCACCCCCTTGGCTTTTCACAGACAGTGAATAATGAAACGTTCAAGTGCGCCTCGGTTTTTTCAACACCACGCTACTCAGATTCGTGTCATTGATGATTAAACGATTTAAAAATATATATATGGCAGAGGTAATTTCTAAGTTTACTTAGAACTTTTAAAAAAAAAACCTTAGTTAATTTATTAAAGAATTGAGGAATTAATTCAGTTAAATATTTAAGATACATGAGATATTTTGAAGAACCATAACTTTATAATAAATTCATAAAGATACATTGCCAACATTATGGGAGTAATAGATGCATCTCTCTGAAAATAACAATCAACTCTTCAAAATATTCACGGTAACGAACGTTACGATACGTCATTTGAAGGCAGCTGGGAAAATGACTGGAGATGGTGGACCCCATGTGGCGGTGTTGAATATTTTATATACTATTACTAAGTTTACTTAGAACTTTTTAGTTATGGTAGTCAAAATATAATGTTACCAAGGGAGAGCTGACAGAACCGTAGTACAGGCCGTTAACTTCTTAGCTCGGATTAACTCCTTACGGTAACTGTCCATAAAAGAAAACACAGGGCCACGTCTGCTCCGTTTGACGGTAGTTTATTTGTAGCACTGCAGGGAAAATGCACAGGCTCTTGTTTATTCCTCATGTTTTGTTTGCTATATATACAAAAGTTGCGCCACAAACTCTACTTCTTCCTCCTGTATCCCCGCACTCCCACAGCGCCACACACCTCAGGCTCAGGCTGCAACAATAAACACTGTGGCCATTTAAAGCAGATAACACTCGTGTTCCTGTGGAGATTTTCCGTTAGTGTGTTGTACTATTAACGATCGATTTTTCAGTTATCATGGAGTGGTGGGTGGGTCTAGTGCACCTATACAGGAAGCAGTGTGTTCAGCCCCAATCACCAAGAGGACGCGGTGGCGGTCTAGTCACTGACGTACCAGCAGCCTGGGAAAGTCTGCGGGACGTGGGACGGATCATGGATCCACCCTAGTTAACGGCGGAAGTCATCGATCAGCTGAACTCTAGAACTGTGTGATAATCCTGCATCACTTTGACTTCTGTCCTTTGCACTCTTCCGGTGTCTCCTCATTCATAACCCGTGACCGCGAAAAGAAAAAAGCAGTAAATAAATGGATGGATGAATGGAGGTCCCCAAGTACCTGGCTCCTGAGGACTTTCTGCATGTAAGGCAGATATATATATGTAGACATGATAACTGCGACAATACAGAACCACTAGACTCTGACGGCATACCTTTAGTCTTTAAATCCAAAATGCAGCAGTAAATGTTTGCTCAAGAAGGCAAGCTGACAAAACAAAATACAAAAAACAAAAAAAACCCACACACACACACACAAAAACAAAAACAACAACACACAGACATGGCAGACTGCACTGTTTTCAAGAGTGCTTTACCTTTTCCCTTCAGCATATCAAGGGTTAAAGTTCTGTTTTTCCCCCCCAAGAATTTGTTATGAAAAACCTTTTTTGTTATAATAATGAGGCTGGAATGACGACAGAGATCACTCACTCAAATGGTAATCACCACGATGGGCAGAACTTGACAACACAACAAGAGAACTGGCACTGACCCAACCACTGACCTAAGCTACGACCTGGTTGGCCTCTTTCTCCACCCTCTGGATGACTGTGCTGAATACACAATACACATAGGAGTGCCAGTCTTTGAGCCCCTCTGATGTATTTCAAGGTTCCCATTCACAACAGGGGGGCGGGGCCTTTGCTCTTTTAAACCACTGCTTCTACCGATGCAGCTTTTAAGGCTAGTATTTTATAATTGTGAACATGGCAGTAGTGAGAATTAGATAAACATAAAAAGTTTTCAACTGATCCTCCTGCTCGTTTTGACTAAGTGATAGCCATTTTCTTCTTTTTTATTAGCATTTTAGTTTCACATAGCATTTCAAAAGCCATAACACTTCAAGGTACGGAGATAGCGGTTCTTGACCACATTGTAGTTGACCCTTAACACGCGTTGACATTTAGTCATGTCTTCCTTGTTCTCATGTAGGAAATCTGATCTCATTTAAGCGTTGTATGAGCCCACAGCTAGTTTTCCATTGATATCCTTCTCCATTGCTTTTCTCACTGGTGCTGAGAGGGAGTTGAGGTGGCTTTTGGGGGAGGGGTGCCAGGCATAAGGTCTGTTAAGCAATTATTGGTGCATTGTAGCAGAAGGGCTGCGGGAAATCCTGGTAACATTTTGGGATTTTAAAATTGACAAGAATTGCTGCAGAGTCGTAACAGGAACCCAAAGCCCTGGTAGGAGTGGAGATCTAGGTGTCACTGTAGAGGCAAAGAAGGATCAGCCAGGCATAGAGGACTATTAGACAGTGGATGGAACAGTGACACAGGGAAGCTTGGATTTGAGAGGTGACAATGAAGTTGTGAGCATAATCTACCCTGGGAAGTAGACAAGCTCCATGAGGATGGGTGGGTTTTAGTAAAACAAAACAGAGCAGTCCCAGCTCTTGGTTATCTCTCTCTCTCTCTCTCTCTCTCTCTCTCTCTTTCTCTCTCGATCATGAATAATAGTTGGAAAAAAGGATAACGGTGACCCTAAATGCCTGGCAGAACACTTTTCATACTTGGGAGGAGAACTGCAGACCCCAGTCTGAAACATGTTCTGGGGAATGCCATGGTGGTGAAAAACGTGGAGCTCAGCAGGTTTGCAGTCTCACTGGCCAAAGGAAACTTTGAGAAAGATGAAATACATAGATTTCGAGAAGCGGTCAACAAGAGTTAGAATGTTGTTATAACCCTCTAACAGTGGAAGGCCTTGTCTCCCACAACGCTTCCTTTCCCATCCCCTGACTTCTCCTTACTTGGCTCTTTCGGGCGATTTTCTAACAAAGAGAACGAGATAAGGGAGTCCATAAAGATACAAGATTTATTTTATTGTTGCCAAAAAAGAGCACTCTTACCATTTAAAAATAAACAAAAGTAACGAAAATACAATGAATATAAATCAATTGTTCTAAACCGAGTTATCCCATATCTAATCACATTAGCCATCCAGGCATGTGTATGTGTTCAGTTCCTTATGTGGGAACTGCTGTGTATTCCACAGTGATTCTGCTGTGAAGAGCCCACATCAGCTGATCAGTCTGTGTTTTTGTTTACAGTGTTGGGTTTATGTAATTTGGGCAAAAAAACAAAAACGCAAAATAGTTATTACAAAAGACAAATTCCTACCTTAATTGAAATATTATTCAATAATATATTTGATATGTTGGTTGAAGTTGATAGAAGCATTACAATGTTGTCTTGTTTCATCATGTTCACGTAGTGGGTTTTAGTATATGTTTCAAAATATAAATATACTCATTTGCAGAGAGACAGGGAGTAGGAAAGTAGAAACGTTGAGTGTAAATGAGCATGTTTGTCTGACAGCAGCAACATTTGGCCTTCATGTCTGTGGAAGAAACACTGACCCATTCATTCAGTTTTCACACACAAACACACACCTGGGGTTTACTCTGAGAAAGTGTAGGAAGCTGGAGAGACTGACTGAAAGCAGAAATACGTTGGTACAAAGGCCCACTTTTAGGCAGTGAATGGCTGGGGGAGGTGCAGGTCAGCTTTTGCCACATTATCATAACGTCCAACTGAGTCTTCTGTCTGTGCTCCACACACTGAGACTAGTTCTCTGTTTATTTAAATAAACATTAGGGTTGAATAACAAAAATAGATGTGCTTTAGATCTCTCTTTATATGTGATATTTAACATTTTTGTGGAGCGCACACATCTTAAATTAGTTCGAGTAGGATTCCCCCTTTTCCTGAGTATTACTTTAAAACAGAGCTCCGTCTGGGTACAAGGATAGATAGGTTCTTGTTCTCTCCAAATCTGAGCTAAACTAGCATGTGCTAGCAACAAAATAAAAGAAAAAAGAAGAATTATGCAAATTGCCATTTCTGGGTTTTGATGCACATATTCATTTTAACAATTAAGTGGACTTTTTATAATATGGGTTTGTGTTTATAAATCCAAATTGTCAATGTTTCTTTCTCTGCTATGGAATGAGAATGTACTCATTTTGTAAAAAATACAAAGGTGCTCTTTAATATAAAACGCCAAAGGTTTAGATAAAAATAATTGTTTTTCAGAAATGGTTTTGGAGTATTTAAAAATACCACTAGAGGGAGCCAGCACTCCTCTAAAAAAAGGTAAACTTCTTACTTGGTATGGCTAAACCGATGACTAAATTGCCAACAGTAGGATTGCGGCCAAATATAGTACAATGCTTTTTTTTATTTTTTTATGGCTAGCTTTTTTCTTATACGGTTAAGTTCTGTGGATCTGGTCATTAAGACCATTTGGCTTGGGATAAATTCCTAGTTTTGTTGGAATATTATAAGAAATTTGCAGCTGACAGTCACCAGAGACAGAGTGGTGGCTCAGTGCTTTGCCAGGGTGTAGCATGCCATAACTTTAACCCTCTAATTGTCATGATCAGACCAGCACTGGGCTGACATGGAGTGGCGGCTTGACAAACCCAATCATCCGGACAGCCAGGGTTGAAGTTGCTGGAGGTTGGCAGCTGCCCAGGCTTCTCAGCTGGGGCCCCAGTCAGTGCTAAAGACCCCCAGGGAGGTCAGCTACCAATCCGCCCTCAAAAACTACCTTTTAAAGGCTGGTCTTTGATGGCTGGGTGGTGGGCTGTTGGTCTGCTGTAGTGGCAGGGCAGTGAAGACGAGGCCAACGTACAAGAAAACAAGCAGCAGGGTAACATAAAGGGTGTGTGTCCAATCGTGTTTGACAGGATTAGTTGGTGGCTGGATAATGGGGGGTGGTGGTGAAGATGCTTGCAGTGAGTTGTCTTAGGGGGTGGAAGAACATGTGCTAAAGTCCTTCCAATTGTTTATCTTCGGATTAGGTATTGTAAGAGCCAGAGCCCTGCGGTGCTGCAGGCTAAATCAACACTGGTGTCATTGACCAGGCCACAATTCTGACAGCAAGCTGTGACAACAATGACCTCTTAGACAGTAGCCCAGCTCTACTGCTGTCCTTGTTTGTGATGGCTTCCCTGTATCTACTGCTGTAAGATTATGAATGAATGAAGGAATATGAATTATGAATCCAGTGACAAATCCAAATGATTATTGGCTGAGCCCAGAACCATGCAAATGGTAATTGTCAACTCCAAATTGGATAATGTGTAATTGCACGCTGCATATTTCAGTGATTTGATGTGTGCGTCCCTGGGGCAAGAAAAAGGGGGGAAAGAATTGAAAAAGGGAAAATATTTGGGCGTGCTGCGTTTTTGTAGACAGTTATTTCACACATTTAGTCTGTTACACTTGTTTGGATCACAGGTTTGCATCAACTGCCAGCACAATTAAAATTGCAAATTACTTTTTGTAATTGTTAAGAAGTTACATTTCCTCATGTTCTCTCTCAGTGTTTGAATTAGCATTTCACAGTTCAGAGTGACAGCTGCTGAGCCTGGTGCCTCGTGGTGCTGTCTGAGGCCTCCCTCTGATCCAGTGCAAGCTCAAAGGTCGAAATCACTACTGTAAACACCTCCATTTACCAACAATTACGCAAAATTCTGGAATTTCACAAGTTACATCCAAGGTCTTACACGTAGTGTTTTATTTTTTGTATAATGTGAATTTTTTAAATTGAGTGTTGTAAATGTATTTCTCCTTTCTGTCACAGTTCTGGCAAAAGTTTTCAATAGTTTCAATTAAAACAAAAGTATTTAAATTAAACATGTATTTGTAATCATTTATTTGTTTTTGGCTGTAAGTTTGTCTTCATGCTTTGAGTCCCACCTAAGTGTGTAGAGACAGGGACAGAAAGACATTTTTATTTGGTGTATGTGAGATATGTTGTTGACATCTTGAATATTGGGCGTAAATAAATGAAAAGATTTTCATTTTCACAGTCAATATTGTAGGGCCTCCTCTGAAGGAACAAGAAAATAACTGCCTTTTCTTTAAAAATTCAGCACAAGTGACAGCTAATTAAAAAAAAAAGAACTATTTTAATACTATGTTGACTATTCAACATAAAAAGGAGGCTTGTAAATGTATTTTTTTAATCTTTGTGTTACTGTTGTTGTTTTTTTATTGTTACTGGTAAAATAGTTTAGTGAACATGATGTAGTCTAAAACAACAAAACAACAATGGCATCAATAGATTATATAAAAGGTCATAGAAAATGTATACGTATCTCCTAGATTTCAAACAAACTAAACGTATTTTTCTTGGAACGTGTGTTAACCTTTTTTTTATTTTCAACTGACATTTATTGAGTTCCTTTATTTGAAAGACATCTATAAGGTGATGGCAACCTTAAATGATTGATGCACGGACTGATTTCCATGTATTTGTCTTGGTTACTTTTTTAGGTAAAATATTCTTTTTATTTATTTTTATTGTGAGATAATGTACAAAAGTTATGAAAATAAAAATAATTTATGAAAAGTGATTTTATGGTAAAGGTGTTGAATTCTTCCATATTAACATAAAAGATAATCTCTTATACCACATATTAATACGTCAAGGGTTAGAGGAAAGATCTGTTATGCGCTGAGCTCATGAGATTAAGGGGATTATCTCCCCCAGAAAGACACAAATGCCAGGTATCATGAAATCATCCCTGCGACTGTAAAGGCCATTGTGATTAGTTCTAGACAATAAAACACCAAGGTTGTTTTTGAAAAGAATAGTGGGTTTTCTAACATATACTTCACATGTACAACTAACGATGATTTAAAAGTCAGAGTTGGACCAACTAATAAGTAAACCGGTGTAAACGTGTTCATGTTTATTTTACTACTATAATTAAAAATAACCTCTCAAACTCACAGGACTTCAGCTGGAGAGGTCAGGAGGGTCTATAGACAAATGATGATGGTGGTCCAGAATTTAGACACCAGCCTGTTTGGACCAACAGTATGAAAGGCAAATTTGAAATGTAAGAACAGTGTTTGGCATACCAATCTGCTGTATCCAAATGTTCTTGGTAGGCTGGGTTTACCATCAGGCCACACTCCAGTCCCTATGTGGGTTTAAGGCTTGATGCTTCAGGCTTATGTGAAGGCAGATGGGGAACCACAGTGGTGCTGTTGACCGTTGCCAGAGCAGGCAGCAATCTTGCAGCAATACCTGGATAGGGTGGGAAAAGGATGGAACAGAAAATCTTCGAATGACTTTTTAAGACAATAAATGTAAACGTATGTGTAATTATTTATTCTTTTATACACTGAATACAAAAGTACTTATAGATTAACTTGAGCACTGGCAACCCTTATCAATCCTTTCTTATTATTTTCAGTTTTTCTCTGCCCTAGGGTGACATTTGACCTAGTGATAAAAATCCCCAACTCCTCAGACATCCTCTACGTCCCTGGGATGTGGGATATGCAAGCCGGGTGAGGGATTGTAGTATCATATACAGTAATCCTTTGTCTAAGAACACAAAGTCCATTGGTCTCTCTAACCTCTTTAACCATGACTTTCATGACCAAAGTGCAACTAACCTGGGTTGAGAGGACCATGTTATGGAGGCTAATGCTATACATGAACTATGTATGTCTCTCAGAGAAAACAGATGTGAAGGGCTGTGGGACCTCTATCTTTCTGTAAAGACAATCTCACAAAATATTATTACATTACTAATTACAATATTTGTATTTGTAAGTATGTATTTTTATAGAACCAATTATCAATCCCCTGGGGAAATTGTTTAAATTAATTATGTAAAAAAAAAAATCAATCCCCTGGGGAAATTGTTTAAATGAATTATGTCAAAAAATTTTTGATCTATACCAGATGTTTAGGTTTATTTGAATCATTTGTCTAATTTTATGTGGCCACATATAAAACGTATCTGTTATTTTGGTTCGTTTATTTTATGTTTAAATTACAATGACGTACACAGATTAGTAATAAATGAAACGGGCACCCTATAGCCCAACGTTTACTCACTGAAGGGAGAAAGCTAGAGAAGCTAATGCTAAATGTTCGGTGACAAAGCGTTTTCTTCTACGTTTCACAGACACAAAAACTGTCCGAAAAAAAGATTAAATAAAATGAAATTGAAAGAAAAAACGACCGCCCTCACGCTATATGCAGCTACCTACGAACAGTATAATGTAACGTTAGGAGATTACCATGTAACCTGTCACGTTACATTGAAAAACGAACCCGTGTCCCACTCTTAAACAATTAATTGCAATGAAGCCGCTAACATTTAATATCGAACAAATCATTTGTTACGTTAGGAAAACGTTGACGTATTTACCTTTACACTGACGAACAATGTCGGGTGGTTGTCCCGCAGGTGAAGAAACATGTAGGATGTATTTCCTCTTTTCATGGTATGCTTTAAATGCTAGCAAGCCGTCACCCACGACGACACCCTGGTCAAGGCCATCTCATTTTATTGCATCTTTTCAAACTATTTTTCACATCTTAAAATAAAAACAACAACACTCAAGATCTTTTCTGAGCAGAGAGACAATCTTATCAATATGTCCCCACTATAGTGAATTAGTAGGCAAAAAGACAGAACAACAGTGTGTGTCGAACTCCAATTACAATCTGTGATGCTGGTGTAGTAGCCTTGGCCAGCATCATATCTGGCTACTACAACTGCTGGTCCTCTATGTGCTTACTGGTCTCACATATTCTATTATCTGGTCACAAAGCATCTGTTTTTTCATGTCAACAACTCACAGAAAGCAACACACAGACATGTTTCGTATGAATAATGTTCTTATCTGTGCTACTTATTATTCAGGCAAGAAAAGTTTGAAAGAAAAAAATGCAGTGAAATTGTTATATATTGTAATTATCAAGAAAAACAAAACATGGCAGGGGAATAAAACAGGAAGGAAAAGACTAGAATCACAGGGTTTTTATTTTTTTTATAGATAATACCTATTATTAGGTGACATATTTAGTTTATGGTACTGTCTACAGGTAAAAGTGACAACTCTGGCCCTATTGAGAACTAATTTATGGCAGACCAGTGCTACTACCTGTGGCTTTATCATCAACATGATTTTTAGAACATAATGTATGTGATAAAAAAAATATTTTAATCTAGAATATTTAAAATGTTACAATCCCAGTAATGGAACTTCAAAACTCAAAATACAACTCAAATCTTTTTAACCATAAAATAGGTCATTTTTCCTTTAAGTTTTAATTCATATTTTCTTTGATGGCACAGATGGTTCATGAGGACAAGTCATCCAATCATTATAAAAAACAGCATGTTAAAACTTTTTTCACTTTATGTTTGAATCAGCTAAATATAAGGTTGTAAACAACACTTCTTTTACATATATTTCTTTTAAAATCCATATTGAGTTTGGTTAGAGTGTATGTATATATTACCTGTATGGACAGCAACTCTCAAATGCCTTCTACTGTGAGAGGGCCTGAGTTAAAGAGTGGAGGCTGTTGCTCATCCCACGGGTCTCACACAGTCCTGAATGCTGCCAACTTGTCTCTTTGCCAACTCTCCAGTGACACTGATGGAAAAAATATAGCCTTGTCTTTAGGTCCAATTAGTCAGTTTAACATAAGGGTTAAATCACTCTGACTTTAATACGCTTTTATTACCAATAATAAGATTGTAATAACAATAACAATGACAACAACAACGATAATAACAATAATAATAATAATAATAATAATAATAATAATAATGTAACACATATTCATGTATGACACACATGTGTTAAAAGCAGACTGCCAGTGTGAGGACATTTAAGTGGAGCTTCATGTGTCTTATCTGAGAGGAAACTGATTTAGGTTAACATTTGGTAGACTTGATTGGTCCTTTTCTTTTCCTCCTTCCTTGTTGGGCACTTAATAGGTCCATGCTGAAGCTTTCCCACTAATCTTTCTTTTACAAGGAATTCAGAGCGCAAAACAAAAACACCGCCTCTCTTCCATTCTTCCCTTCTTCTCTCAAGTGAGCTCCTTTGTGCCTCACAAAGTGTTTTAATCCCCAGTGATTCTCGCAGTGGCAGAGGGAGCTGTCCTCGAGCAGTTTTTGACTAAATGAATAGCGTGCATGCTTACGCTCCCCTGCCTCTGAGGCGCATGCACGTAGGCCAGCCTTAATTAAAGCTCCCGTTTGTCAATTATCATGTCTGTGGCTGTGGAGGTGGTTGCTCAGATGCTGAGAGAGGAGGTGAATAGACACAATGTGTGTGTGTGTGTGTGTGTTTGGTCTTGTTATAGCTACTTGAGAAAACCATTTTTTGATTAGAAAAATGCCTAAGGACACTTTGTCTACGTGGGGACACTTTGCAGGCCCTCACTACCTTTAAGGACATTTTAGGTTTGGTGTTAGGACAGGGTTTAGGGTGAGGTTATGTTAGGGTCAGAGTGAAGATTAGGCAAATGTACTCATGTAGGTCAGAGGCCAGAAAATACTTTTCATCTGTAAAAACTCACTTCTTAGGTGGCGATCTTATGTTTGGCCATCAGTCTGTTGGCTGTTTGCAGCCTCTTCTGCTTTGGTTAAGCGTCCACATTCATCTCATTTCTTCAGCAGAACCTGAACCTGAGCAGAAACACACTGATTGCATCTGTGTCTGAGAAGAGAGACTTTGGTTTTTTCAGACGCTCAACTGCAAAATCCATTTCCGTCCATTTCTTCGACTGACACATATTCCTTCTAATACTTTTTATTATTTTTTAAAACTTAATCTCATCAAGCACAGACTCCCCAGTCGCACCAATCTATCAGATCATTTGGACTATTTTTTCCTATATAGGATGTATGGTAAGATTTAGTACTGGAACAAACCCAGACTATAAGAACTATTTCCCTGAAAGACTTCCCAGTAAAGAGTCCAGTTATGAATTGTTTTGTGTTTGTGTTGTACGCTGCCTATTTTTTTTAGAATTATTTACCTTTAGCATACACATACAAATGTATGGTTTGTTTTCTGTGACAATTGAATGAGTTGTTGTGCCAAGTGTAAGTCACATCATGTCACTGGATGTGGACGGTGAAGGGGGGGAGATTATTAGTTGTGCTCTCTCTCTCTCTCTCTCTCTCTCTGTGTGTGTGTGTGTGTAATGGGTGGCTGCCCATTACCTGCCTCAACCTTCACACCTGTCGATCCTGATTCATCTCCACCCTGGTCTCCAGCCTCCTTCATCAGTTTGCAGTATTTAATCCCTGCTCGTTGGCGACTCATTCCCAGAGTGTTTCTCTCACTGTGTGGAACACCAGTCCTCAGCTGCTCTAAGTCAATCCACCGTATGTATTGCTGGTGTTCTTATAGAGTCTTTGTCCTCTGCCTCTAACATCTGGGGGGAAGAGGGAACTGTATGAAATTACTAATGATACTAATGATTTTAGAGGGGAGAAGGGGCGATGAGTTTGCAGAGGTGACTATAGGAACCTTTCATCTCCAGGAATCTTGCACAGGGCTGTGCTGGAGAACACAGTAGAAGGCCTCAGTGTGTAGGAAGGCTCCGAGGAATGGGTCTGTGGGGACCATTAGGTGGGATAATTCACATTTCCACGGTTAAAGATCCTAACTAGTGACAGAACATGATCAGAGCATGACAGCAGACAGACTCTTCCAGGGTCTAAGGGTCTATGCAGACCTATGGTAGTGAGGTTTCTATACAGGAACTTCATGGAGGGCACAGTTGGAGGTTCCTCTACAAACACTCCACTGAGATATATCTCCATTTGGTTTCATGTAAGCCTTCCCTCTGATGTAGCCCCTGTCCCCTGTGCATGTACAAATATTCAATATATTACAAATATATTCGAAATATCAGTGTTAAATATCAAATTATCTTGTTTGAATAAACGCTGTTGGCTGGTCCGGTGTTTACTCCATGGCATTTACACAAAGACGCCATGAAAAATATTGAAATAATAAACACGATTTAATAAAGAGGTAACGATATTAAAGGGGTACTTGATAAAACGTGAAGTTTCACTTTATTCCTATTAAACTCTCGGTGCTTGTGATGCAAAACGACGGCGCAGTGAACCAGACCTTGGTCCATACATCTGCAGGCCTGGCTCACCGCTAATTGGTCGGTAATAGTAGTAACTGGATTTACGTGCACGGATCTCCCTCTAGGACACAATGAGTGCAGGGATAATATTGTTCCAAGATCCGTGCGGTGCATAAGTTGTCGTGTGTTAAGGCGACACTCAGACGAGGAGCTGCGGTCTGAGAGCTCCATTATCGTCTGTTCTGATGTTCGGCTCAACTTCCTCCCGAGGCCGTTTATGTGGATAATGTGATTCGTTTTCAAGAGCCGCCGTTATCTGTGATCATTACGCAGGAGTCAAGTGTAAATGCTGCCGGATTGAGATCGTGTCTGTCAATAAATGATGAAGCAAAGTGGCTACAGATTAAACCGCGTGTCCGTATGTTCTTTTCTCCCAGGACTGAAGAAAAATAGATCAGAGTACACTGTTACTTCACTGATACACACGGGTTGTTTTTTTTTTTCAAAATATACATTTGGAAATCACTAAACTTGAGTGTAATCCTGTGGTGCTTTTACTGTGGACCGTCATTGAAACAGTATTGAAATATTGTCCATCTAGAAGATGTAACTATTTTTGGATTAAATTAGACTTTTAGACTTACACACTGAGATATTTAAACTCTGTTGTACGTCGTTATTTCACTGGATAATTAACTAAAATATTTTATAATCCTTGTACAGTCTTGGAATTTTATTTAATTTATGAAATAAAAACAGCAGTTGTGAAGCAATAACTTTAAATGTTTTAGAGTGGGGGGACCGCGGTCATAACCTTAATCTTCCTGAATAAATTAGTAATCCTAACCTTTGACCTGAGGACAAAGTATATTTGACCCATTTCTCCAAACTGTGTCTAGAACCTTCAAAAGTTCCTTTATTTTGGGGAGAGCTGCAAAAGGTTTGGACAAGGTCAAGAGTCCACACAATGGTTTTTGTTTTGTTTTTGACAAAAATCTGAGGTGTTGTAATGGTTAAACAACACACACACACACACACACACACAGTGGTAAGTATTGTATCTTCCCAAACTAACACACACACACACACACACAGAAGTAAGTATTGTATCATCCCAAACTGGGATTGCAGGAAAATGTTGAATCCCGATTATTTATTGTTGAATCAAATTGAAACATGGCTCAAACATTCCTTTTTAATTATAAGTTATAACTTAATTTTTTTATTTATACATTTCCTTTTAAATACAGACCAGAAATTGTAGTGCACCGTCAACAACACAAATTTAAATAGTCTTTTTAAAAATATTCTTCAACCAGTTCATTCACAGAACAGAAAACCCAATACTTTGACATACTTGAAACTACAAGCATGAAATTCTGCAGATACAGGAATTGTAGAAACCCAATAATTTGCGGTGGCAAATTGTGTACTTGCAGTGCAGTTCACCTACAGTATGTCTTACATTCTGCATATTCACAGAGTCATATTGCAGGCCTGATACTCAGGTAGAAGACCAACAGTACGTCTCACACAGTGTGTGTTACTGTGTAAGACTCACTGTTAAAGTCCAAGATAACAAACATGACTAATTTACCTGGAGCACCTGGCCTTATCTCTCCGCCCTGACCAACACAGAACACACACAGAGCCTTAAACCGAACTCAGCCACCGCCATCATCACCGGTGAGGCCCCACAGCCTGGGCTGCTGCCTCAGCTCTGCAGAGCTCTGGAGGCCTCTGTGAAGGTTTTGTCGTGCAGCTTCCTGATGTGTTTCTTCAGGTCAAAGTTGCGGCAGAAGCCTTTGCCACAGGTGACGCAGGTGAAGGGCTTCTTGTCATTGTGTGTGTGCATGTGAAAGGTCAGGTTGTAGATCTGATGGAAGGCCTTGTTGCATATGGAACACTTGTACTGCTTTTCCCCGCTGTGTGTTAGCTTGTGGTTCTTATAGTTTCCTGAGGGGGAAAAAAACATGGTATTATTAATAATCATGAAGAAAAAAACCCACACAGATTAATTTTAAAATATGAAGAACTGTCCAGCAGCGTAACATTAGAATGTTACATGGTTATTAGAATTGTGTTTTGTGTTTTTATTGTAAAAATGTTAGAATGTGATGGAAAAATAGTCAGAATTAAATTGAAATATTTCATCATTGAGAGAAGGTTTAGTTGAATTATCACCACTAATTACAATAATAATCCATCAAACAGAAATTTAACACAAGCTTAAAAAAAATCAGAAAAATTAAGAAACTTAAAACTCAACCGCTGTAATCAACACATAAATACTACATTTTTTCAAGGAAATTGAAATTTAGAAATTTAATAAAATTAAAAATTTTATTTAACAGGATAAAATCGGTGCCTGTAACTGTCAAAAAAAGATCCTGAATGGATGTTAAATTATACCACACAATAAACCATCATGTAGTTAAACGGAACGTTGTTTCCCTTATAATTAAATAGATAATTAATAATTGAAAGAATTATATTATATTATATTATATTATATTATATTATATTATATTATATTATATTATATTATATTATATTTTACCACGATGTTTCAAGGATGAGGGAACGGCATTTAATGTGGATTCAATTTTGCAGAAAAGGCTGCAAACGGCGAACTGATGCGGTGCGAGACTGGGACGTGTGGACGTGTGGACATGTGGACGTGTGGACGTGTGGTTCTGGAGTCCAGAGAGATTTAAAGCCGACTTCATTTCCTCACTGAGGTCACCGGTGCATCACCAGTGCCTTAATGAAGCAGGATTTTTGTGCCAAAGTTAAGAAGTTGTCAAACTCTGTCAAAATCAAGCTCAGCGAAAACTCAATTATTGCACAGCTTTGCTTCACAGCTTAGTCGGGGTCGAGCAGGTGACCCGGAGCAAATGTGCCCTCTTGAGGGGAGAGGAGCTCCGCGTAAAGTGACAGTGACACTGATCACCTGCAATTACTTTCTCAAAGAAATTACACCTAGAAATCGAAGAGCAGCAGCGTGTGGCTGCTGTTCACTCTGAGAAAAACCAAACCAGACTAAGCCTTAAACCGTCGACCACGGGGTCCAAACCGGAAATCAATGAATTCCAACTAAATGCACGTCCATCCTCAGGAAGTTATATATACATGTAAGGAGCCGCATTTAAACAGAACAGACAACGATAACGTCGTATTTTTTTCACTGAACGGCTCTTTTTATTTTCTCCTTTATCAGGGGTCACCAGGAGTCAAAGGTGGTCGGGGGTCACCCTGATAAAGAGAGGAGCCGACGATGATCTGGATTAGTGTTGTGACGCCGGATGTTAAGTTAATTATAATTCTTTCCATAACAATGACTTCCACGTCCTGTGCGATTTGTTTATGTGTCGGTTATTAATGAACTACAATGGTCGGTGTGAGAGTCTGGGAACTCATTCAGAGTAACTGATATGAAACTGCACCTTATGGTCACGTGTTGACAGACTGTATGACAACAACACAGATGCACTCACGCCGTTAGATTTAGCTGTAATAAACACCGATTACAACAATAAAACAACTCGCCCGATGAGGTTCACATCAGCGGAGGACCTGGAGAAATGTGGGCTGCAGCCCACACACTCCTGCACATGTCGGTTTGATTAATAAAACACTAAAACACCTCAGACCCCCTGCAGTATGAACGGACCACGACGTTAACGACCACAGCTGTGTCTGTTGTTTTAATCACAGACCAGTGACGACGACTCTTACCTTTTTGGTGGAAACCTTTCCCGCAGAATTCACACACGAACGGTTTGTATCCAGCGTGGATTCGTATGTGCGTGTTGAGCGTCGAGCTTCTGTTGAACGCCTTCCCACACTGGTTACACTTATGAGGTTTTTCCTTTAGGTCATGATTAAACAAACAAACAAATATAAATATATAAATATAAAAATAGTGTAAATATATAAATAGTATAATCAACAAAAATGATGATATTGTTATCAGCAGTATAATAACAATAACACTATTATTATTATTATTATTATTATTATTATTATTATTATTAATAACACTATTATTATTATTATTCCTAATAATAATAATACATAATAGTGTTTGTTTTTTTACCTGTGTGTGGATGATCTTGTGTCTGCACAGAGTGCTGGCCTGTCGGAATCCTTTGCCGCATACTTTGCAAACGAAGGGTCGCGCCCCGGTGTGGACCGGCATGTGTCTGGTCAGGTTGTAATGAGCGTTAAAAACCTGTGGACGATATCAAAGTTGACCGAATGAGTTATTTTGCAGCATTTCAGTGATAACGGGAGTAGGAACACGTGACTACGACAGTCAAACGTCACCTTTCCACAGACTTCACAGGTGAAGTTCTTGGGTTTTCCGTCCGTGCTGCCGCCGCAGAGTTTGTTGTGTGTCTTCACTCCGCTCTTCTCAGCGGCCACTCCGTGGTTTTCCTTCACGGTGTGGCCCAGTTGGCCGGACAGATGCTGCCTGTGTGGGTGCTGAGACGTGGGCAGCTTGTGCGACCCGGTGACCGCCGTGGTCAGCTTGGCGTTCTCCAGCAGAAAGAGTCTGTAGTGCGCTGACAGAGAGTCCTGTGGCTGAGCGGCTGACGTCCAGTGTCCGTGCAGCAGCTCCGACTGCTGGTAGGCAGCATTCAGACAGTTGAGATAGTAGAGCGGGTCGGTGCCGGGCAGAGCCACGGCTTGGTGCAGGACCTGCGGCTTCACCATCCGGCTCCTGGACGTCAGCAGCGGCTGCCGTACGCTCGGTGCGGCTTTACCGGTGCTGCCACAGTTGCCCTTGCACAGAGCGGCTATCGAACTGTAACAATGTCCCCGGAAATTGTCCCGCAACAACTCCGAGTAGTTTATCATCGCCTTGGCCTGGAGGTCATAGCTGGCCGGCTGCAGCGGGATCATGCACGGCACCGGGCAGCACAGTCCCGACTGCAGCTTCCGCTCCGGCTTCTCCTGCGGCCGCTCCGCCGATGACTGAGAGTCCATGGACATGATCCGGTCTATGGAGAAGGCCAGGCTTTTGGGGGTCGCGGAGGGTCCAGTCCGGCCTTGGTGCATGGCTGTGTCCACCGATGGTGACGTCTCCATGTCGTTGCTGTAGCAGAGCAGGTCGTCGGCCGAGTGACAGACAGACAGAGTCCGAGCGGGATCTCCGAGCTGTTTGGCGTCTTTTGACTCTTCTACAGTCCCAGCAGAAAAGACAGAAGGACACATCAGTTTAATAAGCACCATGCTGTCACTGTGTTAGACATTTGCATTTAAATGGCGAGCCCCCCCGCAACAATAGCGTCCAGGGGTGACGGATTAGTGCTCATTAACTAGTCCACACAAAATTAACAGGACATTACAGAGCTCGTTAAGACGGAGAAATGAAGAAGAAGAAGAAGAAGAAGAAGAAGAAAACCAAGAATGAAGGAATACACAAATGACACAATCACGTGGCGGAAAATTAAGTTGATGACGCTGCTAAACTTTTACACGTTATGGACTGGATGTGTGGACAACCATGTTGTCATCTGTCACTTGTCCAGTAGACTCACGTTACAACGTGTCACTGACCGTCTAGGAGGAGCAGCTCAATTAGGACGCGAACCACAAGTTGAGCGCAGCGATACTTCAACAACAACACTTTAAATACACTGAAATATTTTTATCGTATCGTTATGTTGGACTCTTCTTTAAACAGAGTTTACACAGAGTTGCTCAAACAAATTAATACAAAATAAACTCTCACTCTATTACTAACTTTTTTTAAATGTTCTTTTTTTTCCTTTAAATTTAGTAGAAAAACTACTAATCCTTATACACGGAATCCCGCCCTCTGCTCCGAGGCCGCCTCGTATACTTACTTTTGTGGTATAAATTCGATGACGTCCAGTTTTCATCTGATTAAGTGCGGGGACTCTTTTTGAATCCTTTAAAAGGTTGATCTCCGATTCCCGTTATTTAAAAGAAACAATTTTCAAAAGAGACTCTCGGCTCAACCCGGCGTAGACAAGAGGGAAGAAAAAAACACAAGCTCTTTTACTCACAGTCACTAAAGCACCGCGTGAATCTCGTTCCCTGTTTTCTCTTTCCTTTATCTTACCGTAATAGAAGGACGGATTAAAGAGGAAAAGGGGAGAGAGGGACTGAATGAGGCAGGGGGAGAGAGAGAGGGAGAGAGAGAGAGAGAGAGAGAGAGGGAGAGAGAGAGGGAGAGAGAGAGGGAGAGAGAGCCACTTGCTCCACAGAAGCAGAACAAAAGTTTGCAGGAATCCACTGTGTTGAGCGCAGGTTATAATTAGCGGCAGCAGCCTCTGTGGTCGACACAAGGACCGCGTTTAATTCAAGTTT